GCTGTGTGCTGTCCTGCCACGGTGCCCCGTGTCCACGACCACCACGGCTGTGTGCGCTGTGTGCTGTCCTGCCACAGTGCCCCGTGTCCACGACCACCACGGCTGTGTGCGCTGTGTGCTGTCCTGCCACGGCTGCTTGCTGTCCTGCCACAGTGCCCCGTGTCCACGACCACCACGGCTGTGTGCGCTGTGTGCTGTCCGCCACGGCTGTGTGTACTGTGTGCTGTCCTGCCATGGCTGTGTGCGCTGTGTGCTGTCCTGCCACGGCTGTGTGTGCTGTGTGCTGTCTTGCCACAGTGCCCCGTGTCCACGACCACCACGGCTGTGTGCGCTGTGGCACCCGTCGCCCCAGGGTCCATAGGGAGCGGTTACTGCCCCTGTGTTGTGGGTGTGGAGACCCTGTTGTTGCCGTTGTTTACGTAGTTATTGCTCAGATCCCCAAGTTACATACCTGAGACCCTTATAAAAGTCCATATAAAAGCTGAGCGTGATGATGTGCTCCTGGAATCCCAGCCTTTGGGAACTGATGCAGGGAGGGTTACACATCTCAGGCCAGCCTGGGCTGTGTAGCAAGTTGGAAGACAGTCTGGGTTTGAGTTTTCTCAAAAAAGTAAATCTTTTTTAACTTGGTAGTGCTTGGGTTTGGCCTCAAGACCTAGCATTTCCTGGGCAAGCACTCTTATCACTGAGTCACACCTCCAGACCTGTTTTTCACAAGTTATTGTCAAGATAGGGTCTTGTTCCTCGCTGGAAGTTGCCTGGACCCTTGAACTTGGTGCTGTAGGCTTTCTGTTGTTGCTAGGATGACTGGCACCTACCACCACATCCATCTCTGTTGAGCTGGAGTCTCATGACCGTGCTGCCCAGACTGATGGACCCTCCAGGATGTCCGCCACTGAGCCCAGCTGAGTTCAGGAGGGGTCTCACGCTGTTCTTCCCAGGCTGGCTGTGAATCACCATCCTCTCATTTTCAGCCTCCCAAGTAGCTAGGGTTACAGGTGTGAGTTGACTCTCTCAAGCTAAGAAAAGACTTTTTAGCAATGCAGGGTAGCCTTTTGTAAACATGACTCCCACGCAACATCCCACACTTGCACATTCATTGTGGGCCTCTCCTTGTGCGGTGTCCAGCACCTCAGCTGATCACACAGTGCCCCAGGACCTCAGCTGATCACACTGTGCCCAGCACCTCAGCTGATCACACTGTGCCCAGCACCTCAGCTGATCACACTGTGCCCAGCACCTCAGCTGATCACACAGTGCCCAGGACCTCAGCTGATCACACAGTGCTCAGCACCTCAGCTGATCACACTGTGCCCAGCACCTCAGCTGATCACACTGTGCCCAGCACCTCAGCTGAGTAACTCTTGGCTGACTGCTGTGAGGTGGACAGAGCTGTTAGGAAACACACGGCTTTCACTTGTGAGAGTAGGCCTTGCCAGCCATGCAGGTAGGATCAGGTGAGGGACGACCGGAGTTCTCGGTTCCCACAGGGAGCCCCAGGCAGGCATCTTGACATCCAGCAAGGGGTGCTGGGAAAATCTGGCAGATATTCAGATCTCCCTGCATAAATAATCCTCTTTCTGATCATGCTCAGAAAGCACCACAGACTAGGGATATAGCTCAATGGTAGAGCATTTGTCTAGCTCCTCAGAAGACGCCCCCTTCGCCCCCCCCAAAAAAAAACCTGAAAGTTAAGCAGGCTGACTCTTGTCCTTAGTTGTTTTAACTCAGGGTTAGAGGGAAATAGTGGAAGATTCCTTTCTCTGATTTGTTGTTCAATAAGCCCTACTGTCCCTCTGGGCCCTCCTTGAGTGACTGGTACCTCCCTCTTGTATCATCTTTCCCTCCTGTGTTGATGTGGCTTCTGAGTCCAGGAAGACCCTTCAGCAGCCAGTGTGAAGCCTAATGCCGTTGCTGAGTACAAGGCTGCTCCCCAGCTTCTCCCCTACCGTGCGTGCGCCATCATCCCCACCCCTCGAGCTGCCTGGCACACACCCACTCACCGGCTTCTCCCCCACAGTGCGCTTGCCCCCGTGGCCGCCATCATCCCCCCGCCTCCTGACGTCCAGCCTGTGATTGATAAGCTGGCAGAATACGTTGCAAGGAATGGCCTTAAATTTGAGACCAGCGTCCGTGCCAAGAACGATCAGAGGTGAGAGGAAGAGCTGGAAGTATTGGGCTGGGCTATGGCTTGGTTGCAGAGTGCTTGCTTCTAAAATGTGAGGCACCCTGGGTTTCCTCCCTGATGCTGCAACAAAACAATAATAGGCATTTTAAGTGTATGGGATTAAAGACATTAGCTTAGGGGGTTTTTTTAGTTTAGCCATGTAATCCCTTTCTTATGGTTTTATCCTTTTCTTCCTAAAGTGTCTTTTAAGTTTGTGTGTGTGTGTGTGCGCGTGTGCATGTGCGTGTGTGTGTGCGTGCGTTTGCTGGTTCTGGGGCTTGAACTCAGCCTGGGCATTGTCCCTGAGCTTTTGTGCTCAAGGCTAGTACTCTGCCACTTGGAGCCACAGTGCCATTTCCAGCTTTTTGGTAGTTAATTGGAGATAAGAGTCTCAAAGACTTTCTTGTCTAAACTAGCTTTGAACTGCTGTCCTAGATACTCGGCCTCCTGAGTAGCTAGGATTATAGGCCTGGGACACTGACTCCTGGCTAAACATGTTTTTTGTTCCTCTTGTTAAATTAGAGTTGGAGAGGTTATTTTACTGTGCAATAAAAAGAGTAATGCTATCTTAGAGAAAAGTGCCTAGATAATTCATGTTGCTTGGGGTCCACTGGAAAGGAAATATAACAACACTTTTTTAAAATCCAGTTGTGCCCTGTGCCTCTGGTGGTCAGCATAAAGCATGAGGCGTTACTTGCTGTACTGAAAGGGCTCTGGACAGGAGCCTCACCCTGGTCTGTGCAGTGGGTGGGTGGGTGGGATGTGGGTGCTGAGTCAGCATCCAGGGTGGGTGCAGCTCACAGGAAACCCCTGCTTGCTGTGCAGCACACCTGTCATGTTGAGTGACCTGTTTCCTTCCTGTGTCCACAGATTTGAGTTCCTGCAGCCATGGCACCAGTATAATGCTTATTATGAGTTTAAGAAGCAGTTCTTCTTGCAGAAGGACGGAGGCGATAGGACACAGGTATGGTCTGGAGGGTGCGGGAGTAACTTTCTGTTCTCCGCGTATGAGCCCACCACACTAATACCTGTTGTGTGTCTGACATGTGCTGTCTCTAACTTTCCTTACCTCTCAGGTGAACGTTGGTTTAGAGCTGTGGAAATAATTCATTTACTCATAGTTCATTTACTCATAGTATCTTTGTGGCCATTTGTCCAACATGTTACAAACCAACAAAAGCAATAATAGCCTCTTTCTTTTCTTTTCTTTTTTTGTACCGGTCCTGGGGCTTAAACTCAGGGCCTAGGCACTGTCCCTGAGATTCTTTTACTCAAGGCTAGTGACCTGCCACTTGAGCAATAATGCCACTTCCTTTTTCTGAGTATTTTTTATTGGAGATATAAGAGTCTCACAAGCCAGGCACTAGTGGCTCACACCTTTAATCCTAGCTACTCAGGAGGCTGAGATCTGAGGATCACAGTTCAAAGCCAGCCGGGGTAGGAAAGTTGGCAGGAAAGTCCGTGAGACTCTTAACTCCAATAAACTACTCCGAAAACCAGAAGTGGCGCTGTGGCTCAAGTGGTAGAGTGCTAGCCTTGAGCTGAAGAGCTGAGGGAGAGGGACAGCACCCAGGCCCAGAGTTCAAGCCCCACGACGGACAAAAAAGAAAAAAGTCTCACAGACTTTCCTGCCTGGGCTGGCTTCAAACCATGATTCTCAGGTCTCAGTCTCCTAAGTAGCTAGGATTACAAGTGTGAGACACTGGGGCACCTGGCTCAATAACCCCGTTTGTTCATACATTGAGTTCTACTTTTATCTACTTGGGATGAGATCTGTATTCTGTATCTGTGCTAACATGGAAGGAATCTCATAAAGATGGAAACTTGTACCTCATGCTTCACATCCTAGAGCTTAAATCGTGTCCGTGGAGCTGTGTGTGGGGCACTGGTGGCCCTGCCTCTCTTCTCTGCCCTCCTGGAAGCTTTGCATCTCGTTCCCGTCATCACCTCCTGCCTTTACATTGCCTTTTAACATTGACACCCGACTTCCCTTTATTTTTCTCTCTCCCATTTTTGCTTCAATGTTGGTTTCTTGCTTTTTTGCTGTATTAGCTAGTCTGGTCTCTTACAATCCTCTTGCCTCTGCCTTCCAAATGCCTTGATTACAGACATGCACCACCACACCTGACTGAGCAGAGGGGCCTCCCACCACCTATGCGGGTGCACCACCCTGGGCCATACTCCCAGCCCTGGGATTCTCTAAGTCACGTGTGGGGAGCAGTAATAGAGGCCCTGCCTATTAGTCGATTTTTTTGAGACTTTATCTTATGTTGCTCAGACTGAAGGAATTTCACCTGTAGGTGATGGGAATTATTTCTTATCCATGTAGACGTGCTGCTGCTGTTGAGGAGCTGCTCTTTTGACAAGTCCCCGTGACTCCTCGTGTGACATGTGTGTCATGTCTGTCTCTCCAGGTGGCGTCAGCATCAGAGGAGGCCCCTGCAGAATCTGCTGGCGAGAAGCCAGGGGACTCTGGGGACGACGGGACTCCTGAGGACACAGCTGAGGCAGGAGGCAGAGGTGGCTCTGGCGGGAAGAAGGAGGCCACGTCCAGTAAGAGTGCGGCGGATGGGAAGCTGGTGAAAGGTGCGCCGTCCGGTGAGGCCAGATAGCCTGAAGTAGCGAGAGAGTTTCAGTCTCAGGGACAGGTTTCTGAGCCGTAGGTCAGGCTGGGACCAGCTCCTCTTTTAAGTGGCTCCACTAAAACTTGTTCGCTTAGTTGTATGTTTCGAGCCTGGCCTTCGGAGTCTTGTGGATGTAAATTAGATCCCTAGATGTAAATCTAGGGATCTGTTTACTGGCCTGCACAGAGCCATGTAGCGGGCAGGTTTGTTGATAGTGCTGGGGATCACACCTGGATCCCACACACTCTGGCAAGAAGTGCTCCACCATGGAGCCACATCCCGGCCTGTGAAGTTGTGCACATTAAAGGTCATTTTCTTTCTTTGCTAAGCAAGCTTCCTTTTAGTCACCGCGCTCTGTCCCCGAAAGGAAGGTTGAGTCGGATAGGACAGGTATGTACAGATGGCTAAAGCAATAGAGTGCAGCGTATCTGGCTTTGCTCTGAGAGCCCGTGGGGTAGAGTGAGGAGGGAGGGAAGAGGGAGGCTTTGTGCAGAAAAGGATGTTGAGGTAGGTAGTGGTAGGAGAAAGGGGTCCCCAGAGGCCCAGGGCCACAGCTGTGGGGTGGGACGTGCCGGCATGTCGCTGCCCTGAAATGGTAGTCTGACTAACTCTGGGTGGTAGATGGGTCATGATGTGCAGAGGCTCTGACCAGCTCCGGGAGCTCTGCTTCCCCTGGGGTCCTAGGCTCACGGGATGGCTTTATCCATCCAGTAGATTGGCGGAGTCATTCAGCCAGAAGGGAGGGCTGTGTCAGAAGTTTTTGGTTGCACAGTGGCCTGGAAGGAAGCTTTTATGAAAGTGGGGGTGGGTCCTGACAGGGAGAAAAGGCAGTGGTGGGCAGTGCTTTGCAGCAAGAGTGCCTGTCCTTCTCAAAGGGGCCTTTGTGATGGGAACGGTGGTCTTTGAGAGTGACCCAGTCATCAGCTCAGAAAGTCACCTGAGCATGGTTTTCACTCCCACTGAGATGAACAGAGACAGAGACTACAACAGCTTCTGCTGTCCTCGTGTGGGAAGACAAGCAGTCCACCTGGAATTCTCCTTAGAAGATGAAAAGGATGTCTGCAGATGGAGACAGTGGCTAGGGGATCCACTGTTGACATGGGGTGGCAGGAGCATCCGGGAAGCAGCAACACCCTGGAAGCTCTCTACAGACCGGCTCCTCTCAGCTCATCTGGCCAGCCTAGTAAAGTGGGAGCCGTGGCTCCCAGCTGCTGCCTGCCTGGTCCCTTCTGCATCCCTGTTAGCCTGAGATGTTCAAACAGACATGTGAGCAGACCTACAGACGTGAGCACTCTGAAACTGTGTGTCTAAGCAAGCAAGGACAGTGGATCTGTTCAGCAGACGTGCAGACGTGTGAGCATTCAGAAACTGTGTCCAAGAAATACAAGGCAGTGGATCCACTCAGCACAGGTGCTCCTCTAACATGGGGAAAGCTCTGGGTTCCATCCTCAGCACTGCCAAAAAAGAAAAAAAAGAAAAAGAAAATATTATTCAGAGAAAAACACACAACTCTATGTGTTTTTTGATGACAAATGTAAAGTGAAAACAAAATGAGCATTGAAGTCAACCTAGGAAGTGGGCTAGGATACAGCTCAGTATGTATTTAGCATGTACGAAGACCTACTTCAGTCTCTAGCACTCTTCTCTAAAAAGAGAGAAGAGGACCTAGGACAGGATGTCATGGTTTGTTCCTGTAAAGCCATCCCAGGCAGAAATGTCCATGAGCCTCCATCTACAAAATAACCAGCAAAAATGCTGAGTTGCAGACAAAGCCAGCCGAGCAACCAAGACAAATGAGCACAATGCCCCAAGTTTAAACATTATAGTGGCGTGTGTGTGTGTGTGTGTGCGCATGCTCGCGCGCGTGTGTGTGCGCATGCTCGCGCGCGTGTGCGCGCGCACACACACACACACACACAGAGGAACCTAGGAAGAAAACCAGACATGGTAGCAGTGACTGTGACCCTAGCATTCAGGAAGCTAAGTCTCCTATGAGAATTCAATACCAGTCTGGTCTGTACCTCAAAAATCAAAACAGGGCACACACAGCTCACACCTCTAATTCTAAGAGGCTGAGAATCCAGATTCAGAGCCAGCCTGGGTAGAGAAATCATCAAGAATCACCCCTCCAAATAACCAGCAAAAGCCTGGAGTAGAAGTATGGCTGAAGTAGTAGAGTGCTAGCTGTGAATGAAAAATACAAGAGCTTGAGGCCCTAAGTCGCAGCCTCTAGTATGGTAAATAAAAATAAAGGAAAAATGAAAAAAGCAAGGGGAGAAAAGGCCGGGAAATTGCATGTTCCGTACTGAAATACAGATACACACAGCATGACCAAATGAAAATGTAAAGATATCTTTATACAAAGATAGCATATATCTTTAAATTCAGAGGAATTTGGAAAGTGACTGAAAAATAGTATTTTGAAATAAATATGTTAAGATTGTCTCAAGAAGAGCTAAGGAACTGGCAAAGATGTATAGGCCTGGAAGAATTGTTGAAATACTGTAGTTGACCTGGCTCTGGAGCCAGGCAAGAGGCCAAGACAAATTGAAGTTGGCTTAACTCACCCCAAGAAACGGCTCTCTCCATCTGTAACCTGCTCCAGAGCGCTGAACACCGGAGTCCGCAGTCCCTGGACCACAGCCACCTAAGAAGCACAAGTGTTGGAGTCGTGAGTGCATCCCACTGTGGAGAGGGGCAGGAGTGAGCAGCACGGCCCGGCTCAGCTCGGTCTCCGGTGCCAGGGCTGCATTAGCAGGGCAGAGAGAGAGCCAGAAAGCCTGCCATTCCTAGTGGAACTTGTTCAGTATTGAAGATAACTGACACTGGAAAAATAGGCTCTTCCCTTGGAAAAGTGAAATAGGGAGGTGTATGTAAGCTCCGGTAGAGTATGTTTCTACTTGGCAGGCACAAGGCCCTGAGTTCAAACACCAGTACTGGAAAAAAAAAGCAAAGCTAAGTAAGACTTAGATCACGTTTGACAGCATTAATTCCAGAATTGAATATTTAAGTGTGAAAAGTAAAACCAGGAAAATGAAAGTAAATTCTTTAATCTTGGAGTTGAAAAGGCCTTGTAAGTATTGAAGTGGGGGGTGAGGGGAAGTTAATCGTTCTTTTAGAAGCAGGACCTGAATAAGGTCAAAACACAGATGTCAAAATGATGGTAACACTGCTAACATATAAAAGTGTTGCTGTTCTTGCTGAAGAAAGAGCTCTTAGAAGTCAGTAAGATGATGTCTATAGCAAAAGATGGACTGAGGACAGGAAAAGGAGGAAAATAGATCCCAGTAAGGAATTTTTAGGTATGATCATTAGTAACATAGTATCTACCTGTAATTGCAGCCCTGGGGAGGTTGAGGCAGGATTGCAAGTTTGAGGCCATCTGGGCTATATAGTAAAACCTTATATATCAAAAGTACCCCAAAAGCAAGGTACTGATGGCTGACGCCTGTAATCCTAGCTACTTACAAGGCTGAGATCTGAGAATCCCAGTTCAAAGGCAGCCCGGAGTCCATGAAACTCTTATCTCCAATAAATTACAGAAAAGGCCAGAGGTAGCACAGTGGTTCAAGTGGTAGAGCACTAGCCTTGGAAACAAAGAGCCCAGGGACAGCACCAGGCCCAGAGTTCAAGCCCCATAATTGGGGCCTTTCATATTAACAAATATTGCTCATCCAGTTATGGTGGTGTGAACTTGTCTTCTGGAGGCTAAGGCAGAAAGGATCCCTTGAACTCAGGAATATGAGACTAGCATAGGCAGTGTAGCAAGACCTCTCAGAACATGTGTGTGTGTCTGTGTCTGTCTGTCTGTCTGTCTGTCTGTCTGTCTGTCTGTCTGTCTGTCTGTCTGGGGTATGTCACTTGGTAGTGGAGGAGCCTTAATGTGGTGGCATGTTACGTTAGGAAGTGGAAGGCTCAGTCCACATTTTAAGAGCAAATGTCCTTCCACTCCTAGAAATGTGGCTTGGCAAGCTCTCTGCACAGGACATTTAGCATGGGGCTTGGGTTTTTTTTATTATTATTTTGGAGTTGGCTTTTTTGTTGTTGTTCAGAGGTACTGGGTTTGAACTTAGGACTTCGCACATGCTAGCCTATTGACGTACTACTTGAGCTATGCCCCCAGCCCTTTTTTGCTTTGGTTATCTTTCCAGTAGGATCTCATTTTTGCCTAGGCCCAGCCTCAGACCATGATCCTCCTATCTACTTCCCAGCCAGTAGGTGAGATTACAAGTATGCTCCACCATTGCCTGGCTTGCTGATTGATTGAAATGTACCAACTTTTTGCTCCTGTTGGTCTCAAACCATAGTCCTCTGATCTCTGCTTCCCAAGTAGCATGAGGCACCATGCCCAGACTTATTTTGAAAGAGTATGAAATTTTAAACAGCCAAGTACTGGTGGCTCATGCCTATAATCCTATCTACTTCGGAGGCTGAAGATCTGAGAATCACCATTTAAAGCTAGCCAGGGCAGGAAAGTCTGTGAAATTTTTAGGTGTAGTTAATCACCAAAGGCAAGAAGTAGATCCATAGTTCAAGTAGGTATCTAGCCTGAGAGAGAGAGAGAGAGAGAGCACAAGCTTAAGAACAGCACCCAGGCCCTGAGTTCAAGTCCCAGAACTCGTATAGAAAGAAGGAGGAAGTAGACATGGAAACTATAATAAGGCATATTTGGAATGCTGTATTGAACATAGAGAAGACTGTCTAGACCAGTTACCTGGAACGGGACTGGGTATGAAGTTAGGAAGGTCAGGTGTGGTCCACCATCCCTCTGCTAGTGTGCATGTGTGCAGGCTATGCACAGATGTTTTCCTCCTTTCTGAGTTGCAGTCGACCTTTCACAATTTCCCACAGCGGATGTATTGCTGGAAGGAGCTGTTTGAGGCGGAAGGAAGGAGTCACTCAGAGCTACTACTCTGGGCTGGGACTCAGGTCCATCTGTGCCTGTGCCACTCTTAGGCTGGGAGCTGGCTCCGTACGTGATTCCACCAATGTTGTGTACGAAACTCACTCTCTTTTTAAATGTTCCTTAGTCCTGTTTGTTAAAGAGACTGCTACTACAGACAAGCAGGCTACAAGTAAGTAGCCTCACCCTCAGCCTGACCAGCGGGGTACCTTCAGCCCAGGCTGGCCTTGTTTTATGCAGCTCCGTCTCTGGCTTGGGTTCTACTCCCAGATTTTTATTTTATTTTATTTTGTCGGTCGTGGGGCTTGAACTCTGGGCCTGGGCACTGTCCCTCTGCTCTTCGGCTCAAGGCGAGCACTCTACCACGTGAGCTAAGGCGCCACTTCTGGTTTTCTGGTGGTTTATTAGAGGTAGGAGCCTCATGGTCTTTCCTGCCCAGACTGGCTTTGAACCGCGATCCTCAGATCTCAGCCTCCTGAGTAGCTAGGATTACAGGCATGAGCCACCGGCACCCGGCTAAAATGAATTAATTTTTAAAGATTCCATTTTGTAGTGGAGTCATATCATATGCTTTCTTAGCAAATTCAGTTATATACCAAGTGCTGGAAAACGAAAAAGTAGAAGAAAAATAACAAGAGTTGGTCATTTAAAACTGCAGGTGATCCTCTGGCTCTCTGCCCGTGTCCTACTGTGGCTCTGTGGTGGCCTGCCCTGCAGGCCCCATTGCTTAGCCGGCCTGTCGTGAGCTGCCCACACTGCAGTGGCTCAGGGGCACCCCTCAGCTGTGTGCCATGCAGGGGACATGTAAACAGGGCCCCTTGATATGGCAGGCGTCCTTGCGGGCTGTAGAGAGTAAGATAGGGCTCCACAGCTGTGCGCCTCCCACCCACCGGCGCCCATGTAGACGGTAAGGCCGTGGTGTCTGCTCTGCGTCTGTTCCCTAAAAGCACTTTTCGCCTCTTCCCAATAGCTTCATTTGCTCCAATAAGCTTTGCAATCAAGGCCAAAGAAAATGATCTCCTTCCCCTGGAAAAAAATCGAGTTAAGCTAGATGATGACAGTGAAGACGATGAAGAAAGCAAAGAATGCCAGGAGAGCTGTAGCAGTGCAGCCACCACCAGCCCTGCCATAGCCGCACCCTGTGTGGTTGTCGAGGAGAAGAAGCCCCAGCTTACCCAGGAGGAGCTAGAAGCAAAGCAAGGTTTGTTAATAGCTCTTAACATTCTCAAAAGAAAGACAAGATGTTAATATAAGATTTATCTGCTAAGCCTGAAATTCTAAGACTGCAGACTAGAACCTGGAGCCAAGTAGGAGTTTCTCAGAGTGCCGAGCCCCACTGCTCGCTAGCTCAGACGCAGTGCTCTTGGCAGTTTGTTCTCAGAGCAGCATAATGCACTGTGGACAGCTCTAATGGAGGTGCGCTTTGTTTGGGTTTTGATGACAGCCTGGGGTGAGCCACCCCGTCTGGACTCCCAGCCTGCATTAATGCACCGCACTGGGAGATGCCTTTTTGTGAGGCTGTCTCTCAGCAGAATCACCAGCCCTTGAAGATGATGCGTGCCTGGGCTGATTCTCGGCCCTGGCTCATCGTCATTGCCAGCAGCATGGGGGTTTTGGCTTACTAAGTTATACTCTATATTAAAGTAGTGAATTAATGAATACATTTGTGCTCTTTTCTGTTCTCACTGGGTTTGTTAGATGTTTTTTCTGTGTATACACAAGCAGATCAAGCTATACTTAGCAGTGTGATAAAAGGTAACTTTACCAGTATGCCTTCCTGTCAACGCTTTTGGCTGGGATTGCAGTTATTCTCTCCAAGTGTGCGTGTGCACAAGCACTTGTCCAGACCTGCGCTTCCTGTGTGTGTGGCACAGCAGCTTGTCAGGTCACTTGGAATAAGACACTTTTCGTAGGGAATTTGGTCTAGACCCTGGCCAGACTTCTGGCCGTCTAACCACACCTGCTAGGAGTAGTGCAGATGTACTGTATTTGCTCTATCCTGAGGTTCCCGGTCGTCTCTGCAGCTTGCAACAGTATTGGGGCCTCCAGTCTGACTGGGACTGAAGTACCCTCCCTGACAAGTGTTCTGAACTAATTCTCTCAATATATGGTCTGGCCATGTGTCTGCCTATTCTGAACTTTGTATCTTCCTAAGGTTTTCTTAAGTAATAGTGTTGTTTGGCCCTTTTGGTGCCTGTAAAACTTAAGAGATAAAGATGATGCTTGCTCTAGACTCCACATTCTCTGTCCCTTTAGCAAAGCAAAAGCTGGAGGACCGCCTTGCAGCTGCGGCTCGAGAGAAGCTGGCCCAGGCATCCAAGGAGTCAAAGGAGAAGCAGCTTCAGGCTGAACGTAAAAGGAAGGCGGCTCTATTCTTACAGACCTTAAAAAATCCTCTGCCAGAGACAGAAGTGGGAAAGCTTGAGGAGAGCCCCTTTGGCACTGAGGTATGTAGAGGAAAGTCTTTCGCAGGCACGGTGGCAGTTGTTGCCAGCACTGGCATAAGTCTCCCATGGCAAAAGACCCCCTTTCCGTATTGGCTCCTACCCACCCACAGCCACACGCCACCCCGCGTCCCTGAAGGTCCCTAGCACAGCAGAGGCCCTTTGCTCTTTTTACTTTAAGTACCTTGGTGTTTCTTAAGAGCTCCAGGCCAATATTCTGCACTCGTTCTCTGCCAGTGTCACTTGGCTGATGGATTTGGCTGTGGAGAGCAGCACTCTGGGTTCAGAGTTGAGCATCCTGCTGAAGGCCAAGGCGGCTTTCTGGGTCAGGAGTCCCATCTGCCATCTCTCAGAAAGCAGAGCTGAGCCGCGCTGCAGAAGCTGTGAGAATCAGCTGATCGAGTCCAGGATGCCCTGTGGTGGCCAGATCGCTGCTCCCTGGTTCCTGTCCTTAGAGCCCTCCTCAGTGGCGTCCTTGAAAAGGAGCTCTCAGGGGGAGGGGGCAGCAGCCACCACCACCTGACCCAACCCCCAAGGCTCTCCACAGACAGGTTTCTGGGCCCCTGGCTCCAGTCATTCTACAGACTCAGAAAGGACCACATAAGTGGTGCTCCTAGCTCTGAGATGGCTTCTGTGGGGATGGAGCAGCGTGAGCAGTAGCCAGGAAAGGCCACAAGGGCAGCTGTGGCCTCAGAGGGATGTTTTCTTGGCGTAGGAGAGAAGCATAATTATCTCTGCTTTGTGGTAGCAGCTATAAAACGTGTGCATACAGTAAAGGGGCTGAGGCGGTGCGGGGGAGGACTTGAGAAAGCAGGGAGCTGCCAGGTGCCAGTGGCCCACACCTGTAATCCTAGCTGCTTGGGAGACTAAGATCTGAGGATTGTGATTCAAAGCCAGCTTGGGCAGATAAATCCAAGAGACTCTTGTTTCCAGTTACCCAGCAGAAGAGCTAGAGGCACAGCTCAAATGGTTGGCTGCTAGCCGTAGTGAAAACGCTGAGTGAGAGCTCAAATTCAGGGGATTCAAGCGGGTACTGGTACAAAAACAAAAGCAAGAAATGGAGGCCAGGGGATAATTTAATACCCTTTATTGTTTTTGCTGTCATTTGTGCACTGGATAAAGGGGTTCCTTAAGAGACATCTACAGACAAGCAGCATTGCACGGTTGCATCTGCGTGTTGTGCTCCTCATGGTGAGCTCAGATGCAGCTTGTCATCAGCACACTGTCCCCGGCTGCCGGAGTCCTCATCACAATGGCCATCATCTCTCCCATCCCTGTGTGCCCAGGGCCAGCCCAGCCTGAGCCTCTGTTTCCAGAAGGGAGATAAGTCTAGTCTAATCCATGGATATGAGTGTTTTGTCTCTGGGGTAACCTCCCTGAATATCTGTGTGTACACACAGATGATAGCTGCTAGGCTATTTCATCAGAAATGTAATGGTCGTAGCAGATGGTGATAAATGTCGCTAATTGCTTTGAAACAGAAACTCTTGCAATTAAATTGGCTATTGTCATAAGTAAGAGTCAAACTCAAAAACATTTTTAGTCTTAAGGAACATTAGGGGACAGGCTGTCCTTGACTTATCAAGTATGGTACTGGCACATTTGACCCAACTAGCCACCTAGATGTAGAGCTCTTAGAGGGTGTGGGACTTAGCAGAGTGGAGTTGGCGCCTCAGATCCGTCGGAGCCCAGGTGAGCCCGCCCAGCCTGGCTTTGGGACAAGCAGGTGCACACACGCAGAGCTAGCGCAGAGCTTGTCAGGAACTGGACTGCCGTCTGCCTTGAGCAGCCACAGGCTTGCGATTCGCCCTGAGGGCTGGCATTTTCCTATATTTGCTTTCCCTTTATAAAAGCACCAGGCATATAATTTGGAAGGTTCCAAGGCTAGAGAAAGGTATACAGTAAAGATTAAAGGTCTTGTCCTTCTTTTTTAATACCTACAAATAACTTATTTTGTTTTTCATGCAGTAAAATATTGATAACTTGAGGTTTATCACTCGCACCCTTTTTCTTGTATGCAGTTTAGTGCATTAAGCATGTCTGTCTAGCGGGGCACTGGTGGCTCATGCCTGTAATCCTTGCTACTCAGAAGGCTGAGATCTGAGGCCAGCCCAAGGAGGAAAGTCTGTGAGACTCTTATCTCCAGTAAACCACTCAGAAAACTGGAAGTGGTGCTGTGGCTCAAGTGGTAGAGTCCTTGCCTTGAGCTGAAGAGCTGAGGGACAGCGCCTAGGCCCAGAGTTCAAGCCCCATGACGGACCGCCTCCCAAACAAAAGCATGTCTGTCTGTCCCAGCCACCACACCCAGAATCATTTTCTCTCCATAGGCTAACCCTCCATCCATATGAAGCACCAACTGCTCTTTACAAGTTTAAGCATTATAAATGGGGCCCTCCCTAGGCACTATGCGGCATCTTTCTTGTGCAAGTCTTTAAACGCCAGAGCTTGAATTCGTGCTTGATGTGTTGCTGACATTGAAATAGTCAGTGGGCTGAGTGGCTGCCTGAGAGTCCCTCCCTCCGGCGGCCCGTTAGCCCTGCCCGCTGGCGGGAGTGCTGGGGCTCCGGGTCTCTCTGCTGTGAGCGTACTGTAGGAACTGCCTGCATCCTCTGTCGGGCGCCTCCCCAGTGCACCCCAGCTGTGGGGTAGCTTTCTTCATGTGGAACACTGCCAGGTGAGCTTCCGAGGGGTTCTGGCGGTTTGTCTCTACTGTGTGGCGTTAGCTGTTGGTTCTCAGTACTTCTTTTTCCCTTCTTTCAATACTGGAGATTGAGCCTAGCACCTCAGGCAATGTGGGCAAATGCTTTACCACTGAGCTACGTCCACAACTCTACTTTTTTCCGTTTAAGGAGCATAGAATTCAATAAATTATACATCCTACCCCTACTGGTGTCAGGAGTCTCCTCTGTTCTGTGCGGGGTTCTTGTGCGTACTTGATCTATTTCTCCACACTAATCTGTTTGATTTCATTGGTCTTAAAGAGATCATTTGACATCTGCAGGCATAATTTTAAAGATACCCTTCAATATACTTGTTGACATGGAAAGATAATGATGGATAGTATGCTAAATTACCAGACATTGTATAAAGTAAAGATGTGTTCAGGTAGCACTGATAAAAGTGGGCATGGCTGGGTATGTGCTACCTGCCTGTCATGGTAACACTGAGGAGCTTGAGGCAGGAAGATCACAAGCCTGAGGCCATCTTGAGCTACAGAGTGAGGACTTGTTTCAGAACAATGTGTGTGTGCTAGGTGCATTCTCGTCCAGTCAAGCTGACAGTGTGAGCCATTGTGGCTGTGGGATGACTGCTTTGTGGGAACGCGCTCCGGTTCCCGGCACTCAGTGTTTCACTGGCAAAAGCACTATTGCGAGTTCATATGCTGATTTGTTGCTATCATGGTAAAAGAATTTTCCAGGGTCAGCTGGGTGCCCGTAGCTCACACCTATAATCCTAGCTGCTCAGGAGGCTGAGGCTGGGATCCGAGGATCATGATTCAAAGCCAGCCCAGTCAGGAAAGTCCGTGAGACTCTTATGATCACTTCACCTTAGGTTGTTGCCTGTCCCAGAGAGTACAGCTCACTTCTCTCCTGAGCAGTGGAGGAAGCGCACCTCTGGAGGCCCTGTTAGGTGGGAGGCAGGAAGGGAAGCCCACCCACTGCCCCAGATGTACAGACGCAAGCGCACACCACGTCTGTCCCCGTCCCATTTCCCGGGGCTCAGGCAGCGGGAGCAGACCAGGCTAGCCCACCCAGGTGTTGCCTTGAATTTTTCTATATACCTTACACCTAAATCTTCCAGGCAAAAAAGAGGAAATTGTGTTTCATGATTGTGAATTGAGGACTGCCCCCCGGTAGAGGTTCGGCAGAAAGCAGGTGGCTGGCTGCCTGCAGGTTGGCTGCCCGGGCCCCTGGGTGAAGGTGGCTCTCAGCGACGTGCATTGAGACCAGTGCAGGCTTCAGTGTGCATGTGACACCCAAGAGTCCTAAATTCAGAGACCAATCTCTTAGGCCTCCTCTAAAAATATTTCAGATTCATGAAAAACCTGGTGTTAGAGGTTGTGGGATGGAAAGTTGTTAAAGGGCAAATATGGGTTTTCCTAACACAGTGTCTTTGATAAGGTGCCCCCTTCGTTGCTGGCCATAGACAGCCTAACCAACGCTGCTCAGCGTCTCTAGAGTTGTCCTTTGCCCCATAGAGGCCAGCCCAGTCCCAGGCAGCCCCCAGAGAGAAGGCTCTCCTTCCTCAGCGTCGGGCCATCCAGCGGGTAGACGTGTTGCTGCAATAAAGCAGAAATTGGAGCTGTGCTGTAGAATGCTGTCTGTTAAGGCCACTCCTTGGCTTTTCATTCTCAGGAAGCCAGTCCTGTGCCCTGTCCTCTGCTGGCTGGAGGCAGACCTCTGCCCACTGTGGATGCAAAACCGCCGGAAAGGCCTTCAAGCAAAAGCAGAGATCCACCCCGAGAAGAAGAGAGAGAGAAGAAAAAGAAAAAGCACAAAAAACGGTCTCGGACTCGCTCTCGCTCTCCCAAATACCGCCCGTCCTCCAAGTCCAGGTCCAGGCCCCACTCGAAAGCCAGGCACTCCCTGCCCAGTGCCTACCGGACAGTGCGGCGCTCAAGGTGGGTGTGGCGCCCTGGGCCTCGCTGTGTACGTTAGGTCCCTCAGCCAGCAGCACGTGTGGCCCAGCGAAGGCCTGAAGGGGCAGGTGGGTGGAGGGAGGAGTGGGAGTTCTCCATATCCACAGGAGAGCTACTTTTCCAGTCATGCCAACGACTGCCAGGTTTTAAGACATCGCTTATTTATGCCTGTGATTCCAGCACTCGGGAGGGGGCAAGAGGGCCTTAAGGTCAGGTCAGCCTGGGAAATACAGCCAGACTGTCTCCGAAAACAAGAGAAAGGTAATGGTGTACTTAAGTGCTGACAGTCGTGTGAGCGAGCCTAGCCTGTGTGTGTTCGAGAGCAGGCCAGGTGTGAGTATGCAAAGAGCAAGCCTAGCACATAGGGGCAGAGTCCTTCCGTTAGTGTGGATGAATTTCTCGTGCTTTCTTTTGAATGTGGTAACTGCAAAACAAGAATGATACCTGGTCTGGTTCAGATACCCTGCACCCCCAAGTGTGAGTCAGAGTGAGGCCACAGAGGCCAGGGATAATCCCCGCTACTTGGGAGGTTGGGGTAGAAACTTGTAGCCAGGCCAACCAGGGGGAAAGTTAGTAAGACCCCCTCTCAACCAGTACAACTGAGTGTCACAGTGTGCATCTGTCGGCCCAGCTATGCAGAAAGGGCAAAGTAGGTTTGTGGTCCAAGCTTGTGCAGACAAAAACGAGACCCTAGCCCAAAAACAAGAGACAAACAGTATGCATCTGTTTTAGCAGTGTGCCTCTTTAGGCTCCCAAAGTCCTCTTCATGAGGAGCCAGTGTTTGCGAATGTGAACTCAGTCAGAGATCACAGAATTCGCTCCTTAGGTAAACAAAACACAGCAGTGGCCACCTTGCCAGAGGTTCAGAAAGGCTGCTCTGTCATCAGCTGTCCCCAGGTCCCCTGAGCTCTTCCTATTACCTCACACGGCCTGACTCTGGGCCTCCCTGTTTCTTCCGGAAGCCATGTTGGCTCTGTGGGAAAATGAAGATGTCCTGTGCTCTTCGTGTTGTCAGGGGCGTACTACACGCTCACCTTACTAGACAAGGCCACAAAAGCCATACGGTGTGTTTTCCTGTTTCAAAGCTTACAGGGTTTATCAAGTAGTTAATGAAACTATAGATTTGCCTTTGTTGTAAGTCTTTGACCCTCTGTACTTGGCTAGTTCTTGAGAAATTCAGTCACTTCCTACCATTACACACACACACACAATCTCATGTCACCAACTGTGTGACATACCTTTTTTCTTTTTTTTCTGTCAGTTGTGGGGCTTGAACTCGGGGTCTGGGTGCCGTCCCTGAGCTTTTTTGCTCAAGGCTAGTGCTCTACCACTTTGAAGTACAGTGCCACTGCTGGTTTTCTGGTGGTTTATTGGAGATAAAAGTCTCACAGATGTTCTCGCCCAGGCTGGCTTTGAACCACAATCCTCAGATCTAGGATCTAGGCATGAGCCACCGGTACCCGCTGATTTTTATGTATGTAGCTCCTATGATTTGTATTGTGGGTCAAATTCTCTTTTTCAAAATTTTCTCAGTTGGAAAACTTTGGTATTGCAATTGTATAGCTGGAAACAAACAGTGAGGCTCCCCAGCGTACTAGCCCCAGAGGGTTTCCCCAGCCAGTCCTGGGCTTGAGCTCAGAGTGTGGGCGCTGTCCCTGAGCTTCGCTTGCTCAAGGCTAGCGCTCTACCACTTTTTTTGGCTAACACCTAAGTGTGTGTGTCAGACTTCTTTACCTGCTGCTCCTGTTCTCATTGGTTTTAGTATCAATCACATCGAGCATTCTAGGTGGAATGAAGAAGTACTGTACAGGTTACTTATGCCTAAAGTTTATGACTTAGATATTGTTTTTGTTTGCTTACTTGTTTTTGTTGGTTGTGGGGCTTGAACTCAGCCTGGGCACTGTCCTCAGCTCTTCAGCTCAAGGCGAGCCCTCTACCACTTGAGCCACAGCGCCATCCAGTTTTCTGGTGGTTTATTGGAGGTAAGAATCTCACAGACTGGGGCTGGGAAGGTGGCTCAGTGGTAGAGCGCTTGCCTTGCATGCATGAGGCCCTGGGTTCGATTCCTCAGCACCACATAAGCAAAAAGAAA